TAACCAATGATCTGAAGACTTTTCAGCACAAGTAGAATCTTTGTAGGCAGGATAATTGGGCTGCACAGTCTTGAGCTATTAATATCTTTTATATTTTGAAGAAAGCGTTCAGAGTTTGAGTTGGATGAGCAGTATTGCAGCTACTTCAACAACTTGTCTTGCCAGAAAAACTGTTTGAATTTTTCTCCACTCTCAATCAATTTTTTTTTTGCAAAAAGGCTAAGCCTTTGCTGCAGCAGCATTGCTGTTTTCTTTCTGATACCAATTCATAATTTTATTTGTGCAACTAACTGGCTGTCTTGTTGCTAGTTTACCATGGAGTTCAAGAGATAAGTCAACAGGAGTTCACCAGTGAAATTGAAGATACAGAATGTTTTGGTGAAGGAACTTCCTTGTTACAATGAAAAAAGTTATTGATAGAGTAGAAATCCAAATCCTTTTTCAATAGCCTAATTTATTAGCAATGAAGTATGTCTACAACTGCAAAATCACAACATCGTCACTTGCCCAAGATGTGATGAGGTTTATTCTCACTTTGCCATTCTATTATTTTTCTCTATCTGCTCCTTCACGAACCAGTTTGGTCCAGTGTTTTGGACTGAAACACAAAGCCATTTTTTCATTTAAAAAAATGCCCAACAGCTTTTGAAATTGTGGTTGACAGACGGAAGAGAAGTCTCTTAACGTAGCAGGATTGTAGTTAAAATTAAGTGTTAGCTGTTGGATGTGATACCATCAACAATGTTCATCCTTTGAGTCAAAATGTGTGTTTCTGCAGTGCCAGGCATCTTTTATGACCCTGAGCTTGCTTTGCAGTACTACTGGATCCTCCATGGTTAGCAGGAACTTTCTGATTCCTGCAATGAGATACATAAAGCTGGCACTGAGGCCAGTGCAGGCCTTAACTTTTAAAGGTTAAGTGTTGCCAGTATGACTTAATTAATTGACTTCCAACAGTCCAGTCTGGTCCAGTCCAAATTAGGGAGCCTAATTTGGTGCCTTTTGTGGAAGAGTCCATCTCCTGTTTACTGTTGAGGGAGCAACAGGAAGATTGGCTGCTCCTTGCAGGTATCTTACAATGTTTGACTCTACTTCAATCTTACTGCTTAGTATAATGTAATTTCCTTAGAGTTGCAGCCTTCCTTTTAAAAAGTAAGTCACTATAATTATCTGTATTCTGTCCTTTAACAATGAACAAACTTGCAAGTTCATTTTTTCTTTGAAAGTAGTTAATGAAATCCAAAAGCTTGGAAGAAGCTGTTATATTACAACATAGGCAATTAGATCTGGATTGGGAAAGAAGAACAAGGAATCTAATATTGATTTGAATGTGTTCACTCAGAGGCATATATTTGTGTAAATCACGTGAATAGATTCTGGCATAGTATTCCATCCATCCTGCAGGCCTGGACCATATTTTTCTCTGTATTTTAACATCAGTTAGACTGCTAAAATATAGCAGTTAATAACTGCAGTAATAGGTTCAAATTTGAAAAGTTGCTGTCTTATATTTCCTTCAAGAACATTGCATGAAATTTCTAGTTTTGAAAAATATGACAAAAGAACAAATCTCAGCTTGCTTAAAACAAAGCCTCAGTCTCTGAGATTTCATAATTGACACAAGTTACGATTGCATCACAGGCTGGCTTAAATAAGACCAGAGCTTTTTAAATTCTAAGAAATCTCTTCAAAAATATTTATACATTCTCAATGCTCTGTGTGTAAAGGATTTGCAAATTTCAGCATAAATGAAGGGATTGAAAGACCAAAAGCAATGACAATACGTAGAGTTCAGCCCTTCATATGTGTGGTTCTACTATAATAGGAAATAATCAGTGCCTCAAAATTATGTATCATTTACATTTGAGATGTAAAGGATTTTCTCATTTTCTAGTGTAAATCTTTATCTGTGTGCTGTATTAGAGCACTTTTACTTGCACAGGTGTAGTTATGGATGTATAAACATTTCTGTTACAGACATCGTATTCCCAAGGGTTTAGAATTCAGCTGTAAAACTTAACACATGGTTATAGACTGATTAATTCTAAAAATTTTCTTTCTTTGTTGGCATGTTTCAGAAAGCTGCAATCTCCAACCTTAAAAAAAGAAATCCTTTTTACCTTCTGCAATCTCCAACCTTAAAAAAAGAAACCCTTTTTACCTTTTACCTGATTTAATCTGTTGAAGGTTGTTGATGACACAAAATATGTCACATTTAGAACTGTTTTAAGGGTAGTTGGCAATAAACATGAGACCCACGTTGTGGAGAAAATATACAGCCCTTTGGTTTTAAATATATATTGGTTTTATTACAGAGTTACTTCCTATGAATGTGTTAGTACCTTTGAAAGATACACCTTGAAGAACAATGTATATGGTCTTGGAAGGATTTGTGTGTATTCTGAAACTTCTCTTGATGTGAAGTCCTGTTACAGCATTTTATCAGTGAGGGATTGAGAGATAAAGAAAATTAAAGAATTTGTCACACAGAAACTGCCATAGAAACTGTAAACCAGAGCACAACATTGAACTTCATGCTCCAAGATTGGAAGAGAACACTCTGAATTTTCTAAACACAATGAAGCTTTTGCTATCTACTGTTTCATCTTTCAGGCACAGTCTGGCCCTGTATCTTGTTTATATATATTCTGAAGTTCTGGCATGGAAGGGTGAGAATATGAGTTTAAAAGTCTTCAAAGAGTATACCTCAAAATGTATACCGTAATTCAATTTATAAGGGGAGGTTACTAGAAGGAAGAATAATACTTTTCTAATATCTACAGAACCAGCTTCATGTCTGCAAGGCAGAAGGAAGAGAGGCAAAAAACTCCAACGCAAACTCTCCCAAAAAGCCACAGATGATACTTTGGGGGCAAAATAATTGCACCTGACCGACTACACCAGCTTTTACAAGGTGTGAAATTTAAAAGCAGAGCAAGATAATGAAACAACATTGGACACGAGCCAATGGCTCTTTAATTCCCAGTCTAACTGGAAATTAGCAAAAAGTGTGGAATGTAACAGCAACAACAAAGTGAAACCCAGCAGGCTCATTGTATAAGTCAGATCCCTAAAATTTTTAAAATAGAATTGGCTAATGTTAGAGGCTACTTTAGGGAAGTGTTTGAGGGAAATAATATAACTATCACTTAAAGTGAATTAAGTTCTTTGGAGACTTTAACACTGAATTTCTTGACTGATTGTCAAATTACCTAAAGATTATAAAGAGAGTATTTCCTAGATGGGATCTATAAATTTTTAGAAATGCTTATAAAGTTAGGAAACAAAACTTGCATTGGCATTTGCTTCTATCTAGTATGAAGCTTCACTTACATTGTATGACGTAACTTACTGTGGAATGTAATTATAAAATACTGGTCTAAAAAGAATTAAGATGTGGTAATCTGATCTTCCTATAGAGTTCATAATGAATTATATTTTCACCTTTTTTCCTGAACTTTTCTGTTCAATTATCTCTACACAATAAAAACCAAGAACAGCTCTGCCTTCAGAATGCAATGCAACCTCTTTCAATTTGCAAAAGCTTCTCCACAATAATAAACCCTTACAGAGGAATAACAAAAGAGAACTAATTATCCTTGTGTATATTTGGTAGGATATAAAAAGCTTTTTCAGATCCTTCTGTCGTAATGGGTTGTATTGTGAGAAATTAGGTTGGAAAGAAAAGGTGCAGTTGAAAACAAATTCTGCTCTGCATAAATAGGACTACTACTTCGTAATTTCCCAACATGGCAGTATTTATTATATAAATAAGACTTTATTCTCACAGCCAGGCCCACTGCTGGGGATTTCTTCCTTTAACAAGATGGCCTCTGTACTTGAGACCTCCCTTCCTGAGGCCAGGGTGTTTAAAAGTTGCATTCCAGGATGGACTGGCCTATTTTGGGACTGTTATTCAGTGAAAACTTCCTGAAGAAAGCAAAGTGAGTGAATAGAGACGAGTCCATGCATTTTGAGTCCGTATTTTGTTTCAAGCATGGCACAGACTATGGAATTGTTCAGAGCTGAGACTTGGGAAGGGTTTTTGGTTTGAGGTTGTGTTGTTTGTTTTTTAAGAAAATCTTTGCCATAGTGAGCTTTTGACTAAAGAAAAAGTTCTCTTCCTATTGTCACTTTTATCCCTTCACCTCCTGTCCCTTCACTAGCGCTGCTCATTGTAACATAGTCTGGAGTGCCACTGAAGGAATACTCAAGCTCTCCAGCACAGCAGAAACAAAAAAGCTTTAGTGCTGTCATTGCAGGAATCTTACTGATGGATAAACCCAAGCAGTAAGGATTTCAGGCTGTACTGGGTAGACGTGGGCTGGCTGTGTGCGCTCTGTGAGTGCCTCGGGAGTGTTTGCCAGCCAGGAGGGATCAGGCATCATGCTGGGGGAGCAAGGATGGAAGCTAGACACAGAACGCCAAGCTTTTTTTTAGAAGCATTTGTGATGTAGAGGCATATAAACCTGCCT